GGATGCAGGGGTGGTGATTCCCACCACATCCCCATTCAACTCGCCTATTTGGCCTGTGCAAAAAACAGATGGATCTTGAAGATTATAGAAAATTTAACGACGTGGTGACTCCAATTGCAGCTGCTGTTCCAGACGTAGTTTCATTGCTTGAGCAAATTAATACATCTCCTGGTATCTGGTATGCAGCTATTGATCTAGCTAATGCCTTTTTCTCCATACCTGTTTCAAAGGACCACCAGAAGCAGTTTGCCTTCAGATGGCAAGGCCAGCAATACACCTTCACTTGCCTACCTCAGGGCTACATCAACTCTCCAGCCCTATGTCATAATTTCGTCTGCAGGGAACTTGATTGCTTTTCCCTTCCACAAGACATCACACTGGTCTGTTACATTGATGACTTTATGCTGATTGGACCTAGTAAGGAAGAAGTGTCAATGACTCTGGACTTATTGGTAAAACATTTGCGTGCTAGAGGGTGGGAAATTAATCCCGCAGAAATTCAAGCACCTTCCACTTCAGTGAAATTTCTAGGGGTCCGTTGGTGTGGGGCATGTCAAGACATTTCTTCTAAAGTGAAGGATAAGCTATTGCATCTTGCTGCTCCCACAACTAAAAAGGAGGCACAATGTCTAGTGGGCCTCTTTTTGTTTTGGAGGCAACATTTTCCTCATTTGGGTGTGCTATTCTGGCCTATTTATCAAGTGACTCGAAAAGCTGCTAGTTTTGAGTGGGGACCAGAGCAAGAGAAGGCGCTGCAACAGGTTCAGGCTGCAGTGCAAGCCGCTCTGCCACTTGGAGCATATGATCCAGCTGATTCAATGGTGCTTGAAGTGTCAGTGGCAGATAGAGATGCTGTTTGGAGTCTTTGGCAGGCCCCTATTGGTGAATCACAGTGCAGACCCTTAGGATTTGGGAGCAAAGCTCTGCCATCCTCTGCAGATAACTACTCTCCTTTTGAGAAACAACTTCTGGCTTGTTACTGGGCCTTAGTAGAGACTGAACACTTAACCATGGGACACCAAGTCACCATGAAACCTGAGCTGCCCATCATGAACTGGGTGTTGTCTGACCCACAGAGTCATAAAGTTGGGCGTGCACAGCAGCACTCCATCATTAAAAGGAAGTGGTATATTCGAGATTGGGCCCGAGCAGGACCCGAAGGCACGAGCAAGTTGCATAAGGATGTGGCCCAAACGCCCATGGTCTCCACTTTTGTCACATTACCTTACTTCTCCCAGTCTGCACCTATGGCCTCATGGGGAGTTCCTTATGATCAGTTGACTGAAGAAGAGAAAACTCATGCCTGGTTTACAGATGGTTCTGCAAGATATGTAGGCACCACTCGAAAGTGGACTGCAGCAGCACAACAGCCCCTTTCTGGGACCTCCCTGAAGGGCAGTGGTGAAGGGAAATCCTCTCAATGGGCAGAATTTTGAGCAGTGCACCTGGTTGTTCACTTTGCTTGGAAGGAGAAATGGCCAGATATGCAATTATATATTGATTCATGGGCTGTGACCAATGGTTTGGCTGGATGGTCAGGGACTTAGAAGGAACATGACTGGAAAATTGGAGACAAGGATTTATGGGGAAGAGGTATGTGGATAGACCTCTCTAAACGGGCCAAAGAAGTGAAGATATTTGTGTCTCAAGTGAATACTCCCCAAGGGTGACCACTGCAGAGGGTGATTTTAAAAATTAAGTGGATAGGATGATGCGTTCTGTGGAAAACAGTCACCTTCTTTCCCCAGCTACTCCAATCATTGCTCAATGGGCTCATGAACAAAGTGGCCATGGTGGCAGGGATGGAGGTTATGCATGGGCCCAGCAGCATGGACTTCCACTCACCAAGGCTGACTTGGCTACAGCCACTGCTGAGTGCCCAACCTGCCAGCAGCAGAGACCAACACTGAGTCCCCGATATGGCACCATCCCTCAAGGTGATCAGCCAGCAACCTGCTGGCAAGTTGATTACATTAGATCACTTCCATCATGGAAAGTGCAGCGTTTTTTTCCTTACCAGAATAGACGCTTACTCTGGATATGGATTTGCCTTCCCTGCACGCAATGCTTCTGCCAAAACTACCATCTGTGGACTTACAGAATGACTTATCCACCATCATGGTATCCCACAAAGCATTGCCTCAGATCAAGGGACTTACTTCACAGCAAATGAAGTGTGGCAGTGGGCCCATGCTCATGGAATTCACTGGTCTTACCATGCTTCCCATCATCCTGAAGCAGCTGGCTTGATAGAACGATGAAATGGCCTTCTAAAGACACAATTACGGCACCAGCTAGGTGGCAATACCTTCCAGGGTTGGGGCAATGTTCTCCAGGAGGCTGTGTCTGCTTTAAACCAGTGTCCAGTATATGGTGCTGCTTCTCCCATAGCCAGGATACATGGGTCCAGGAGTCAAGGGGTGGAAATAGGAGTGGCACCTCTCACCATTACCCCTAGTGACCCACTGGCAGGATTTTTGCTTCCTGTCCCCTCGACCTTATGCTCTGCCGGCCTAGAGGTCTTAGTTCCAAAGAAAGAAATGCTCCCACCTGGAGACACATCACAAATTCCACTGAACTGGAAGTTAAGAATGCCACCTGACCACTTTGGGCTCCTTATGCCTCTGGCTCAACAGGCAAAGAAGGGAGTTACCATACTGGCTGGTGTGATTGATCCTGATTATCAAGAGGAAATCGGAGTGATATTACATAATGGAGGTAAAGAAGAGTATGTCTGGATGCAGGAGATTCCTTGGGGCATCTCTTAGTACTACCATGCCCTGTGATTAAAGTCAATGGAAAACTACAGCAACCTAATTCTAACATGACTACTAATGGCCTAGACCCTTCAGGAATGAAGATTTGGGTCATTCCACCAGGCAAAGAACCACTGCCAGCTGAGGTGCTTGCTGAGGGCAAAGGGAATATAGAATGGATGGTGGAAGAAGGTAGTTCTAAATACC